CATCCCATCACTGCTTCGAGGGAGGGAGCCGGAGAAGAGGCGGGGAGATGAATATTAATTTATCATGATTAGGCAAATCCGGCAGGGAAAGCCGATTCCGGAGGAGGCTAAAAAGATGAATTTCAGCAATAAAATTAAATAAGGACGGACGGGCAGCCTCTCCTCCCTCCCGCTTTGCTGATCTCTCTCTTTCTTACAATTTATGAGGCCAATTATGAAGATGAGGTTGGAAGTTCCTGGAACTTCACTAAATGCAAACGGCGGTCCCTGCTGTTCCCATCAAATTAATTAACCGCACGCTATTGATGGCCGCTCAAGGCTGACGCAGGCGGCCCGCCCTGCGGCCGCCACCATGGACACAAGTCCAGCTAGGCTCCACCACCTCCTGAAGTCTCAGTCCAGCACCCTAGGGGTTCAAGGGACTCCCATCCCAGTCCACAGGCCCTGCCTGAGTCTTCGACACACATGGTATGCACACAGAGGCCTAGATAGACGGGGACACCCTGCCATATTCCAGGGGCGCACACACAGCCTCAGGTACAAAATCGCAAAGACACAGCACACAGACGCAAGGCCTAGACTGTACACTGCGTACACAAGTGAGCGGGAAGCCACGTAGGGACTGATTCCCAGGGACACACAAACGCACAGAGAGAGCCAAGCTGCAGAAACCGGAGCCCAGGGGGTGCAGGGGCTGGGGCTGGGAGGAGCACATCACCGCAGGCTGTCAAGGGCCTGGGACAACTCAGTCAAGGTCAAGCCTGAGTCTAGTAAAGCAAAGGTGCCACTGTCTCTGGGCAGGAAGAGGTCCCACAGCCACTCATACAGCAATCATTGAAGTCTTTGCTGGGGCTCGGCCCCTGCTGTGTGGGGGCCATGGCTCGGTAAGCCCCATAGGTGGAATGGTGGGCATTGGGCCTGGCCCAGCTTTGATGCTTCAGCCCTGAGGGTCCCCATTCCCAGAGCTCAGAAGCAGGGCTGCCCAGTGGCTTCGGGTGTCCTGGCACCCAGATGGCAGGGCCAAAGGCCTGGCACTGAGCCTGCCCCTGCCTGAGACACGCCTGGCTGTGTCTGCAGAGTCCAGGTAGCAGGAGTTGTGCCAACAGCTGTAGCTGCATGTCAGGTCCATCTCTGCAGTGATGGAGGAGTGAAGATGAGGAGGAGGCCGATGTCTTCTCCAGGTTGTAGTCCCCAGTCCTGGCAAGAGGTATCCCACCCAGTTAAAGGGGCAGGACATCCTGGGGGCAGAAATTCCACAGCTCTCTTGCAGAAGCAGGGCAAAGGGCCTGGACTTTTCAGCCCCAGCCCTCGGATCCCTCAGGAAGAGACAGAGCCGAGCTGCTCCACCTGGTCACGCCCAGTACCCCGGGGGCAGGTACCGGCTGGGAGGGCCCTGGCCCTGTGCTGCCCCGGAAGCAGTCAGAACCTTGGAGGGAGTAGCAATCTTATCTTGTCACCTTGCAACGCAAGTCCAGGGGCAAGTCCAGGGCCGAGGGGGATGCCATCACCCAGGGCTCGGAAAAGATGAGGGCCCTCGTTTGGCAGGGCTGGAGCACAGCAGCCGAAGGGGACACGCACCTTGGCCACAAAATCTCAGAGGGAACCTGAGATTAAGGGGGGGCTCAGACTGAGCACATGGCAGTATCTGGGAGGGCTGGGGCCAGGGCCTCGCCCACCCCAAACCAGGCACACCCCCACCCCCACCCTCCCAGCTGCATCTCAGAGATTCCCCCAGACTCACAGTGGGGCCTGCTCACCCCCACTGCCCCTCCACCCTCTTATTGTTTTCTATTGCTGCAGGAACAACCTACCACAAACTTGCGGGGTTAAAATGGCACAAAGTTACTGTTACATTTCTATAGGTGAGAAGTCCAACACAAGACTCACTGGGTTCAAATCAAGGTGTCAGCAGGGCTGTGTTCCTTTCTGGAAACTCTGGATGAACTAGTATTTTTGCCTTTTCTAGCTTCTAGAGGCCCTATGAGGAGCTGTGGTAGCACGGTGCCTAAGGTACTTGACTGCTAACCAGGAAGCTGGCGGTTCAAACCCACCAGCCACTCCTCAGAAGGAAGACTGGGCAATCGACTCCTGCAAAGATTTACCGCCTCAGAAGCCCAAAGGGGGTTGCTATTGAGTCAGAGTTGCCTCGATGGCAGTTGATTTTAGAGGCCACCCACATTCCTCGGCTGGTGGTCCCCTTCCTCCCTCTTCAAAGCCAGCGCCGGCACATCTCACTGGCCTTTCTTCCATCATCTCGTCTCTCTTCTGACTGTAGCTGGGAAAGGTTCCCCACTTTGAAGGGCTCATGATTCCACCGAGCCCTCTGACTCACACAGGATAATCTCACTCACGGTTCTAAATCCCATCTGCCAGGTCCCTGTTGCCATATAAAGTAGCCTATTTACAGGTTCTAGGGATTAGGATGTGGACAGCTTTGGGGATCATTATTCTGCCTGCCACACATGGAGTTTGGCCAGAGACAATGCTGGCTGAGGCAAAGAGTGTTGAGAGGCTGGGCTAGGGACAGGAAGCAGGCCTGTGGGGCCCCTCTCCTCTTCAGGGCCAGGTGGAGATGGGGTGGTGGGTTTGTGGGATGCTCAATGGCTGACAGGGCCCCAGGGCCCACCTGGGCTCTGAAATCCAGTCTTCCTTTCCGGCATGATGGGAGACTTGCCTGGAAGCCTTCCCAGGAACCAGTCCAGACTCTGAAGTAGCTAGGGAAACCCCACCCCACTCATACTCCTTGATTAGTTGGAAGACTCCCTACCCTGACCCCCATCCTTTTCTCAAGATGCAGAAATCCCTCCACCAGTTCCTTTACCTCAGCAGCTTGTCACCTGGGCTGTGTCAGACTGAGTACAGGGCATCACCCCAGGATGAGTCTCCAGAAGGTGTGGGGACTTCCCCGCTTTATCCCCTGATTTCATGTTGCCTTTACCAGGAAGTGAGACCAGGAGCCTGTACGGTTTGAAGGCACTAACTTGAATTGTGAGTTTCCTGGGGTTAAGGCAGATAAGGGTATGGATGGCAGGAATGGGGATCATGCCCCTAGTTTCACACAAAGTCATACGTTATCCCTCCCTGTGGTTCTGGGAACGTTTCGTGTGTAGGAAGAGGTTGACTTTGCCAAGTTCCTCTGTGACCCACTGGTCCCCTCATCTCCTGGCCCAAGAGGCCTACTTCTCCACACCCAGAGACTGCCGAGCAGGCTGGATACTAACATGGGAAGCAGAAGGAGGGGAGAGGCGATTTCCATTATTTGGGCCTGGACTCACACCTTTGGACTTGTTTATCCTGACCCCAGCTGGAGGCAGTGGTGGGCTGCAAAGGACCAGTCCAGAGTGGAACTGGCAGAGCTCTTAAGGAGGGGGCAAAAGCAGCCCTAATGCCGAGGGACCTTGGGGTCTCCCCAGCTCCTCTGCTCCCCACCCCCGGCCCGGCACCCATGGTGGTCCTCCGCAGTCATGCTTCTCTAGTATAGAACCGCTGGAGGGACAGGTTGCCTCTCTGGAAGCCTTCCGAGTCTTTAATGTGGCTCTCTCTGGTGGGTACTGAGTTAACAAAGGGGCCTCCTGGACTGAGCAGACTTTTGGTCCTTTCCCAGCATGCCCCATGCAGGCAGGGCCCCATGGCTTGGACTTGAGAGTCTCAAGCTGCTGGGACTCCCTGAGACAGACCAGGCGAAGGCCACCTCCAGGAGTCTGCAAGTTACTGACAGAAACGCAGGCCTCAGTACCACCCTACCACACCAGCAAAGTCTGAAACCACCTCTGTGGCCTAAGCCCCCTCTGCACCTTGAAAGCCCCATGCCATGGCGCCTCTCTGGGTTCCTTGCTGTTCTCTGCCTTCTTTCCCTGCTTCCAGGCTCATCATCCTTCACACCTGGCATGCCCAATTCCACCCTTGTCCCCTAACTCCTCCCACTAAACTCTCCCAGTCCCTCAAGTCTTAGCCTAGGACACCATCCTCACCTACTGGCTGGTCTTGCTCCCACCTGCTATCAAACTAGGCCCCTCAGACCAATTTTCAATCCTCCACCAGTCTCACCTTCTTCTGACTCCCAGCATACCCTATCTTCTCTAAAGCTCGTCCCTTAACCGTCCCCACAGCTTATACCTCTCAAATATTTTTTGGCCAGCCTTCCCCGAATGCCCCAACACTGTCAATGCTTACACAGGTCACCATTTAATCATCCTTACTTCCTATGAGTTGTGCCATCTTTGTTCATGTCCCCTGTTAGCCTGGTCTAAGGCCAGGCCCACAGGAACTACTGATAGCTGGACAGAGGGCCTAATGTCTGCCGCCCTCCCCCCCCGCAGAACTTCTATTGACAGCCACTCCTGCCCCACTCCTGAGTTGAGGAGCCAGCTCAGGCCTGGCCTGTTTGGAGGGCAATTCATGCAGCCTTTCTGGACTTCCCATCCAGTCAGCCTAGGCAGGAAGGCAGGCAGGGGCTGCAGCAACTCACAGACACCACGCAGGTTGAATGTCAAATGCACTTTACTGGGCCCCTGGGCCTTCCAATGCTGTCCTCACTGAGTCTGGGGACCCCCTCCCCATCACCTCCAGCTGCACAGGAAGTGGGGTGGGTCGAGAGAATACATGTGGAACTGTTCATTCTCCTGCTCCAAAGGGTCTGGGATGATGCTGGGAGCACAGCTGCTACCTCTACCCCGCAGCCCCTCTCCAGGATGGAGGGGAGATGACTAGGTCCTCGGCACAGGAAGCTGGGCTTCAAACCAGCTACCTGACTCTCCTACTCAGGACAGGGCAAGGCGCGGGTGCAAAACTCTACCAGAGCCAATGGTGAAAGACAGAGGCTAGCAGCCCGTTTCAGTCTGCAAAGAGGCTGTGTGGCCCCTCGGATCCTGGGGTTCGCTGAGGGCAGCAGGGGGCAGGGGCGGTTTGAAGTAGTGAGGTTCAGCCAACTGAGGTTGGAGGGTGGTACTAGATGGCCATGTGGGTGGGGCTGCTGCTGGGGGGGCCCCCCCAGCAGTAGGTCACCAGTCCCGCTCAGCTGGTTCTCGGTAGGGGAGGCCTAGGAGCCTGAAGACATCCTTCTCAGTGGGGGTGGGAAGCACCTGGCCAGGTCCCACCTTGAGGCCGTGGGTGTCTCGGACCACACCCATTCTGAGCGAATGCTCTGACAAGCTCATGCCCTTGGTCTTGGCCAGAGCCCTCATGGAGCGGTTGAAGTGGGCGGAGCCGGTGAAGTAGAGCAGGGCGCAGGCAAACTCGTGGTAAGGCACCACAATGATGTCCAGCCGCCGGTGCCGCTGCCCGGGCCCTGGGAGCTGGCACACCCCCAAGTACTTCTGCTGCTGCCCGTTGTCCTCCTGGCTCACCAAGTCATCTGTCAGGAAGCCTGGCACAACACAGAGGACTGCCGGGAGGGCAGGGGCCAGGCCCTGGGCCACGCATCCTCCCAGCTCTTCCCCTGGCATCCCTGGCTTCTGTTTTCCTAGATGGCCCATTGGCTGCTGGGGACCTGGCCTCTCTAGACCTGTTCTCTTCTCTGTAAATCGCAGAAAGTAATTCCTTCCCACCTGCTCTAGTGTGTCTCAGACAAAACCCAACCTGCAGGTGTCACTGAGCGCGCGTGCGTGTGTGTGTGTGTGTGTGTGTGTGTGTGTGTAGGGGCATCTGTTTCATTTCCTTGAAGCAGCTCTGGACACAAAGGAGAGGTGGGATTCTCATGAAGCAATCTCCCCCTGCTTCCTGCCTAGGAACTGCAACATGGAGGCTTTCCCTCTTGGGAGCTGTCCAGCCTTGCCCTGGCCTGCCCCCTACCAACTTGCCAACTCAGAGATGTGAGTGCATACCTCGCTGCCGGAGGCTGTCAATGAGGTGACTGAAGATGCCCTGGTGGGACCGGCCATCTGGGTGAGTGACCAGCACATCCACATCACCACAGGTGGCCTTCCCTCGTCGGTAGGAACCACATGCCACACAGAGCAGCCCAGGGTTGAGGGCTTGGGCCGATTCCCGGACCTAGGGAAGAGTGGTGAGTTGAGCGGACTGTGGGCCTCAAGTCCTGTAAGGGGTTCCTCTCTAGAGGCAGCAAGAGGGCTCTTCCCAATCCAGGGGCCCACACTCCCGGTGTATGACCCAAGCCAATTGCTGCATGTGGTACCAGCCTGCGGGAGTGAGCCCAGACAGGATCCAGCCTGAGGGGATGCTTTCTCTAGCTTCATCAGGACAGAAGTGGAAGGAAAAGTGTTGGCCCCACAGGAGAAGGGCCTGAGGGGAGGTAGAAGATAGTCCCGGATTCTGAGGGACGACACAGATCATTTTGTCAGTGAAACCCCACCCAGGATGAGGAGCAGCAGCCCCAGGTGTCCACTGATTTGGAGCTGAGGGCAGAATGTGTGAGTTAGGGCTTGAGGCCTGGGCAGGTAGCAGGCAAGGTGCCCAGGCCCAGGCCCAGAGGAAACGCAGCAGCAAAGAAAGCGAACTGCCAACTGTGCTTGTGCAAAAGGAACCGGAAGACAGAGAGAGGAGCAACCGGCCAATGACCATGTCCTGACCGGAAGACAGACAGGAGCAACCGGCCAATGACCATGTCCTGACCGGAAGACAGAGAGAGGAGCAGCCGGCCAATGACCATGTCCTGACCGGAAGACAGAGAGAGGAGCAGCCGGC